TGCTCTCCCTCAGTCACGCAACGCCGGAGGTGGACATTTAGGAATTGGATGAGTCAGCATAGATCAAAACCTTTTAAAGGAATGTTTCCAGCATCTTGTTAACTATTAATGAAAAAGAACAGGCTGTTCAGAAGGCAAAATGGGTCCCATTCAGTACTTTACAGATGTAATGAGAACTGAACATGTGGGACCTTGTACATACATGTTTATGTGTAGTATACTAATAGCTCCCAAATAAATTAAATAGATTACAGGTCATAAGACTGATCTTGATTGTCAGAGCCTTAGTCACCTTGGAGCTGAGATTTCCCCTATTACAATTCACCACCAATATGCTTCTCATCAATATATGTGCTTATGGAAATGTTTACATTACAGAACATATTTGCAGTCTAATAAGAAGGTTCATGAACTGCTTTAAGAAATGTCTAAACCTTCAGCTAATTAAGCAAGCATTTTATACTGTGCATACAACTAATGCGGCCTTATATTATTATATCTAGGCTTTAAAATGCAGCTTGGTGCTTATAGTCCAACTAAAATAATATTAAGTTTGTATCCATTAACATGAGAGCAAATGTGCTTTGTTACCTATGAGGATGGACAATGAGAAAGCCCACTCATGTGGTCAACAAGAAAAATCAACAGTGCCTCTTAGCAATACCGTGTGCTGCAGCGACATTCCAAACAAAATAACAGTAGAAAATGTTTCTTTCTCATGGAAGTTCAATGTTTTTCCTAGATCTTTTCTAGCAGGTGCTCAACATGTCTGATTCGACTAGCCAGTTAGCTCCTGAGGCAAATGGCAGGCCTACATCTACAATTGTTTGCTGGGCACATGGCCATAGCAAGTTGGGCAGCTGTTTCTTAAGCTCATTGAGATGAAGATAAAAGGCATGCTTGTACTAGAGGATTGTGTAGTTGCCAACTTTAGCCCAAACCACCAGACATCTGTCAGCCATTTGGCAGCAGAGTGCTTGTGTATGACTACCACTCCTGGTGTTTGCCAGTACCAATATAAAGCACTGCAAACTGATGGAAATGCTGAACGTCTGGTGCATATCAGTGTAGCAGGAAAGACATGCTGAACAGAAATGAATATGTCAATGAATGTGGATATTTTCTGGGGTGTGCAAGAAATGGGGAGAAACACGACAAGAACAGCTGATAATCTGTTAATGTGTCCATCTCTGTTGGAGTGCTGTAATAAACCCAGTGTTAACCCAACTTCCTGTGGAACCACCCAATTACTCCATTCTTCCTAGATGAAAAAAAACATTACTGGGAGGCAAATGTCGTACACTGGTCGCAAGGTAGGTTACACGCCATAGACTTCTGCCCAGTGCAAGGACACCCATCTCTGGGCACAAAGAAGGTGAAAGCACCAAACATTTACGACATGCACCTGCACAAGGGCCTTCCTAAAACCTCAGTGGCCCGTTTACACCAGTGAATTGCAGTAAAATGTGCATTTTTATTGTGCGTTATTGGAGAAGACATTAAACCCTCAGATTTTTTTTAACATAAAACAATACTGTAATGTGTGCCTTGCTGTAATCCATGGTTGTTTCCCTTCTCTTTGCTGCTCTTCCTTTTAAATCTGTAGCTCTTCTCATGCTGGGGGAGAACTTCTGTTTTGCAGCAGACTGCCTTGTCTCTGAAATGGATACATGGTGTCTGTGTGCAGGTTCACAACCTGAGCCAGCACTACAGGAAGAGGCACTCAGCTGCAAAGGGAAGTTCTCCCCCAGCATGAGAAGACATGAGGATTTAAAAGGAAGAGCAGCAAAGAGAAGGGAAACAACCATGGATTACAGTAAGGCGCAGATTACAGTATTGGTTTATGTTAAAAAATCTGAGGGTTTAATGTCACTTTAAGCACAGTGCTATGCATTGCTATTCATTTTCAATGTCACCCCAACAATGCATGTTGTGTGCAGCATGTCCAGTTTGAGTTCAGTGTGGAGCTTTGGAAATCCATTCAAATGAATGGGTTTCTTAATGCAACACATATTAAAATGTGAAAATATTACCACAATGGACTGATGTGAACGATTTAAACCCATGAATTACATTCATTTGCAGTGAAATATGTTGCCCTAACATTTTGCAGTAGGACTGTAATTTTATGCATTAGCAGCCGATTCAGAATGAATGGCTTGTTTTAAAAAAGGAGGAGAACTATGGGGTTAGGGCTTTTCCCTATAGTTCTCCTTAAGGTAACGGGAGGACACAAACTAGCGTCCTCCCGTCACCCTAGGCTCAGTATACCGCGAACTCTAGCTCACGGTATACTGAGACGCCGCAGCTGAAGCGGATCCCGACATTTATGCCGGGATCTGCCCAGCTGCCTGACTGACAGCTGGCTCTGCCTATCTAGAGGCAGAGCCAGCTGTACCCGCCCCCTCCCGTTCCGCCAGTCAGCGCTGGCGGATTGGAGGGGGGAATCCAGCCCCTCCCCATCACGGCAGAGAGCCGTGACAGGATCGAGAGGTGAGCGAACGCCGGTATGTGTTCGCTCACCTCCCGATCTACTGAGCCGACCTGTGACAGTCTCATTGTCACAGGTCGGCTAGAACTATGAGGCGAGATAAAAGCACTCACCTCATAGTTCTCCTTTAACATGCCGCATGTTAACGAAACACACCAAACCGCTAAGATGTGAAGGGGCTCCAAATCCAGACAGTCAAAAGGGAAGGTAAAAAAAATGAAGTTATGAGCAGTGAGGACTGTGTAGACCCTTGAGCTGATGCTTACTCTTAAACTGGGGAGACTGCCTTAGACTTGAGATTATGATTTTGTAGCCCGTTTACGCCTCAGTAACACAGCGACAAAATGCTGCAATTGCTGTACTGCAAAAACAGAATTCCCATGAACACTTTTCTTAATACAAATTAATAACTTCTACATACTTACTCTATACAAATACATCCATGAAAATCAAGCTAAACATTACGAGAAAAAGGCCCCCACATGTTCTCTATACTGCTCATTCACACATAAGCTTCCTGGAAACACAGTACATGCAACAAAGTGCTAGGCACAACTGGCTGTAACCCACAGAAAACAGTATTCACTTTCCAGAGTCAAACTAGTAGAAACTGCTTGGGATTCTGATTTTACTTATTTGTGACACTGTTTTTTTTGGAAGATTTGAAATGACATACATGAACCATAATGCACACCCTTTTCCTGAAATTGAAGAGTTTCAAAGACATCAACTGGCAGATCAAGCCCTGCCGTTATGGGGAATTATCTTCAAAGACCTCACTGGCTGTACCACACCCACAGAAAAGCTTTTATACTTTGGTCATATTTGGAATCAATCAACTTTACACATGTAGCATTTCAGGGCTAGGCCTGAAAAGATACACACAAAGACTAGGCGATGTAGTAAAAATAAATAAAATGCAATATTGCAAGATCTACTTATTTCAGCTAGGAACGTGAAAATATGTAGGACACAAAAATATTTATAATACAAAAAAAAATGCAATCCATATTAAAAGTAGTAATAAATGCTCAAAACTTTGTTTCCAATAATGAATCCAGAGCAAACAAATATAAAATTGTCCAGCAAAGTATTTCTTTACATCCCCCCCCCCCCCCCCCCCTTTGGTTTTTTTTCAAAAAAAATG